TAAAAAATAACCTACAAAGGAGCTACAAATTGGGGCTTTAAGAAAAAGTAAATATTGTAAGGTAACAATTTGCAGACAAAAGGTAAAATGTGGGTTGGGAAAGATGACAGGGAGAATGATTAAAAAAAAGGGGGGTGGCATTAGTCCAGATGCATTGTATTTATAAACTGACATGTTGAATTGAAACACTTTGTACAACTTCTTAAAAATATAAAATGAAATATAAAGGGAAATTTTAGGATACATTTCTAAAAATCTTAAATCTCTCACGATCAGACCACTAGATAGGGGGGAAAGCTTCATCCAAGGTGAAATACTTTCTGAAAAAGGTGCCACATCAAGATACAATAAAAATAGCAATTCAGAGAGGAAAGCATATATGTAAAGGTTTAGGGTCTTGTATCCTCTTAATAGGAAGACGACACCCACCAAACTGAAATATTCTACTACTGTATGTGTTTTCTAGAGTGCCATTCATATCCCGATTCCTCAGACTATAAATAAATGGATTTAGCATGGGAGTGACCAGGCAGAATAATATAGTCACAATATTATTAGCATTGATGTTATTGGATGAAGGGAAAAGGTAGAGCCCAATAATTGCTCCATAGTACAGAGAAACCATGGAGAGGTGAGAGTCATATGTGAACAGAGCTTTGCAGATTCACTTCATGGTAGGAGCTCTCAGGATGGTGGCCCCAATGCGGCCATAAGAGACCAGAATAGGAATGGTACAGTAATGACCACCACTCCTACCGTGAGGATAACCAGCTCATTGACTGTGGTGTCTGAGCTGGACAGCTTAAGTAAGGCAGAGAGGTCTCAGTTTTGTCACCACAGAGAGGTGGGCTAGGAAGAGCATGGGCACAAGGGCACTGGAAATGGATAAGACCCAGGACACAATAACTAGCAGGAAACTCAGGCTTTGCTTCATGCTACTGGTATGTGCAGAGGGTGGCAGATGGCCACATATCTGCCATAGTCCATTGAGATGAGGAGGGAGCTGTCCAGATCTACATAGAACATAGAAAAAATACAACTGGAAAGCACACCCAACATATGGATGGATCGGCTCTGGGTCAGCATGTTCATGAGCATCTTCTGGGCTATGATAGAGGAGAAAGAGACATCAGTGAACGTCAAGTGGCTGCGGAAGAAGTACATGGGGGTGTGGAGGCGGGAGTCCAGCCTGATGAGCAGGATGATGAGCAGGTTCCCCAGCACTGTGGTCAGGTACGTGACCAGGAACAGGGCATAGAACAGGCCTTGCTCCTCTGGTTGGATGGAGAGCCCCAGGAGAAAGATCTCAGACACACTGCTTTATCATCTTTCTGCATGTTCCTCTTCATCTGGGAAGTGAAAAATGAATGGAAATGTAAAAGAAAGAGAAATCATTTTTACTACTACATGAAAAAATATGCTTTTAAGTTAGCCAATATGTGCATTTTAGCGAGTGGATTGGTCCAGTCAAAGATAAAATTTGCCCACTTAGAATCAAACTCAACATTTTGGGGAGAAATCATAAAGTGATGAAATGACTACAAGACCAGGCTAGCTTTAAGCAGGTAGAAACTGAGTTCATCATAGAAATATAAATTGAGAAGTGTAAGGTCAGGTCATTATCCAGTTATTCAAACAAACTAAATTATCTCTTCTACTTGCTGGCTTCTCTCTGTAACTCAAATCTGTGAAACTCTAGCTTTCATCTCTCTTTCTCTTTCATAGCTGAGGATTCTACTGTCTAATTCATTTTGGAAGTTAACAGAAGTTCACATTCATGTATAAATTCTCCTGATTTGATTGAAATTGTCTTTCAAATTCCCACATTCTCCAAACTGCTATCTGAAAATCCTGCTAATATGATTTTATCAGAGATGGATTAGCCATTCATTATATTACTCATTACTATTTAACAACAATGTATTAAGCATGAATATTCTTTGCAATAGTATGCTATTTCCAGCAATATTGCAATTTATAAAAAATATTCATAGGTCATTTTGCACATTTACCTCTAATAGAAAATTTCAGTTCTATCTTTATAGCAACAGTAAACACAAATTTTAAATGGCTTTCTGCTTGTTATTGTAGAAGTCAGATTTTTTTACCATTTATATTGATTTTTATTTTATTTTTATTTTTTATTGTAAAAATACTGTACAATGGGTTACAATTACATGGGCAAGATAATGAGTACATTTCTTATCAAGCATTGTAGCCTCCTCCTTTGTTTCCCCTTCCCATCCCTTCCCATCCTCCCCCGGCCCCCTCTCACCCAATCCTCAAGATTATCAGCAGAAACTCAAGTTGGAGTTTCCTATAGTAGGTAAGATACAAAATAAAATGTATTTACACCTGTATTTTGGCACCAAAAACTAATAAGCATTCAGAGATTTGATATAAAATTTGGAAAACCTGTTAAGAATACTTAATGGTGATTAGGGATCAACAAAATGGGGAGTATTTTTTCCAACATTTCATCCAATATAGATTTAAAATTAGTTTGAGCGAAGTTCTTGTACATGGAGGACTAGGTTTGCCCTATCCTACCAAATTTGGGGTAGTCTCTTAATAGAGGATAAATTACCGTGTGTGGAGCTGTCACTCACAGCATGGTGATTGTAAATACCGATGACACATGTTAGAAAGATATCCAGAAATACACAAATCATACTGCTGAATATAAACCCTAATCCTTGTACCTTAGGTGCTGAGCACAAATACCTTCAGTTGCAAAGTATGGGGAGAGTCTTCCATTTCTTTCTCTACAATTCACAGAAACCAATGAAACAGGTAAAGCCCGTGCAGAGCTCAGAGATCCCCTCTGAGAGGCATATGCATTTAGAGTCTCTGTTTAAAGCCTTACAAAATATATAGATATATAGATGAAGGTTCATGCCTCCTGAGAAATCAGTGTGAGTTTTAATTTTAAAACATCACATCAATCATCTAAGGAGTAATTCTACATCCCCAGCTCTAAATTAACAACTAACTGTATATAATTACCTTTAGCTCTCTTGGGGGAAAGAACTACTTATTGGAACAAGCATAGAAGAGAGAAATATGGTAATAACCCAAAGTCAGCCATTAGGCTCTTGGTGAGTCATAAAACTTTTGGCCTTCACAATTTACCTTGCAGAAACAAGATTCATAATTCATAACAAACCAAAAAGAAATTGAGTGTCATAGCCAGAGTCTCTTGCTTTTGAACCCTGTGCCAATCTCAATGAGCTTTATTCATAAGCTACTTGGACAACATTCACCTTCCCTCACTCTCTCACCTTTGCACTCCCACAAATGCCTACACCCTGGACAGCACGCCACCTGCTTTACATTCTGGCCATTCATTCACAGGAAGAGAGAACATGTGGTATTTTACTTTTTCAGCTTGGCAATTCTTGCTTAACTTGATCACCATTTGTTTCACCTATTTGCCATCCAATGCCATTTTATTTTTTAGGGCTGAATAATATTCTATGGTAAATATGTAACATGTATTCTGTATCTATTCATCTGTTATGCTGCTCAGCTAATTCCCCTGGTTCGGCTATTATGAGCAGAGATGCAATAAACATGGGTATGCATATTAATTAATACACCAGATATATGCCCAAATTATGGTATGATATATAGTGTGATGGACTCTTACCATACTTTTTATGAGCCTCCGTACTACTTTCATTGTGGTTGTATTAGTTTACCCACCAACTGTATACGAGTTCCTTTTCCCTCCATCCTTTCCAGTATTTATTGTTTTTTTTTCATTACCAATCTAATTGAAATGAGATGGAATCTTAATGTAGTTCTGATTTACATTTCCTTTGTAACTAAGCTGAATATCTCTTTACTTATTTGTGAGCCTTTGTGTTTCCTTTTCTGAGAACTGTCTGCTCATCTATCCATTGATTAATTGGATTATTTGTTCTTTTGTTGCTTAATATTTTTGAGCTTTTTGTTTATTCTAGATATCGATCATTTATTCACTAAATAGCAGGTAAAGATATTTCCCACATTCTTTGTGGTGTCTCTTGATTCTAGTTTGCCACATTTGTCAATTATTGCCCTTATTTCTAGGGCAGTTGGAGTCCTTTTGAGAAAAATTATTAACTATGTGTGTATATTTAAACTTTTCCTTGTCTTTCCCTATAATAGTTTCAAGTTTATGGATCTTACATTAATATTTTGATCCCTAAGGTGTTGATTTTAGTAGAGTGAGGCACACACATATAAACATGATATATTATATAGCACATCTCTCTACATATGTTGCAAACATTGTTTTATTTGCATGCTCTTTCAATGTATTTGTAAAGATGAAAGCAAATTTTCCAGTAAAATAAGTTACGAATTGCTGATATTTGAAAAATGCTCACGTGGTTCATGGGGCTAGAAGTGTGCACCTGCACAATCATTTGAGTTCCACGCTACTAAATTTTGCTAGCTTAGTAGAACAGGGCTGGTGACTAAGCCTCTCTTTATTTTAATTATCAGGTACTAGAACCAAATAAAATAATGGATAGGGAAATGACTGTCACTGTAGTCAGTTTAAAGCAATGAAATGATATGCCTTTGTCTTGAGCAGAGATAGTCGTCCACAGAATTAAAGCCCAAACTACAATTTCAAATGCAAGGAGAAAAAAAACTTAAATGTATGTTGTTGGACACTGAATTACTTTTGTTCCACTTCAAAATAAAACAGTTGGATTAAGCTACACTGAAGACCTGCTTGAACTCAACTCAATGTGTCTAGATTTCCTGACATCTTGTCTAACTATTCTTTTTCCCATGCCCAGAGAGACTGACATTTTTTTCAGCATAGATTGATCACTCAAAACCAAACAGATGACTAAATACATTTTTTAAAGTCCATCAAAGGTGAAATGAATGCAGGAAAAAGATGCTACATTAAGATTCCCTAAAATCAGCAATTTGCCGAAGGAAAACTGGGTAGTATTGAGAGACCATCATAACAATTTAGGGAAAGATGAGCCCCAGCCTTATCATTCTGCAAATGTTCTTCTGAATACAGCTCCCAGAGCGCCTTTCATATCCTTATTCCTCAGACTGTAGATAAAAGGATTTAACATAGGTGTCACTAATGTGTACAGCACAGCCACAATGACATCTTTATCATTAGTGTTACTGGATGCGGGGAAAAAGTAGAGCCCAATAATTGCTCCGTAATAAAGAGAAACCACAGAAAGGTGAGAGCCACATGTGGACAGGGCTTTGCAGATTCCCTTCAAGGAGGGAGCTCTCAGGATGGTGGCCCCAATGCGGCCATAAGAGACCAGAATGCATAGGAATGGTACAGTAATGACCACCACTCCTACGGTGAAGATAACCAGCTCATTGACTGTGGTGTCTGAGCTGGACAGCTTAAGTAAGGCAGAGAGGTCGCAGAAGAAATGGGGCAGAGTGTTGTCTTCATAGAAAGAGAGATGAGCTAGGAGGAGAGTGTGCACAAGGGCACTGATACAAGATAAGACCCAGGATACAATAACTAGCAGGAAACACAGCTTCTGACTCATGATGGTGGTGTAGTGCAGGGGGTGACAGATGGCCACATATCTGTCATAGGCCATTGAAGTGAGGAGGAAGCTGTCGAGATCCCCAAAAAACAAGAAAAAATACACCTGGGAAATGCATCCAGCATATGGGATGGACTTGCTCTGTGTCAGCATGTTCATGAGCATCTTTGGTGCTGTGACAGAGGAGAAAGAAACATCAGTGAAAGCCAAGTGGCTGAGGAAGAAGTACATGGGGGTGTGGAGGCGGAAGTCCAGCCTGATGAGCAGGATGATGAGCAGGTTCCCCAGCATGGTGGTCAGGTAGATGGCCAGGAAAAGGGCATAGAACTGGCCTTGCTCCTCTGGCCTGATGGGGAGCCCCAGGAGGATGAACTCAGAGAATGTGCTTCTATTACCCCTCCTCATGCTCTCCTACTTCTTTATTGCTGGTAAGGAGGGAAAAGAAGACATGAAAGAAAGAAAAGTTATTGTGACTATTGTCCAATGAATTTAAATTAGTGAGTATGGACATTGTAACCAAATGTTTCAAACGTTTTACCAAAGCGGTGGGCATTTGTTGATGTAGAAACTAACTTGACTTTTATTTATTCTTAGAAATGTTGCATTATCATCATGGTCTTCAGATAAGACCTGAATCAGAGTTGAGTGGGGAATGACTTCATGCTCTGATTATTCCTCTTCGTGGTTCTCTAATTCTGTTTCTCTGGACAAAAAATAAATAGCATGAACTTGACCTAGTCAATACTTGCGTTTTAAGCTAAGACATTTCATCTCTTAGCCACACTAATGGGTTAGAGATATTCTGGACAAATGACAATGTCCCCGAAGAATCAACTCACCATTTCATGGAGAAACTATGAGACATCAGAATGGTCACAGAATGATCATTAACTTGGGTGAGGATTAACATTAAGGTATCCAGCAGTCCATTTTAAACCTGAGTTCTAAGAGGTAGTGTACAAGGTCAGGTTGATCATGAATTAATAACAAAACTAATAAATGGCTTCTTACTGTCTCTTGGCTTGGTTTAGCCTATCACAGGCTACAGAAATACAATTTGTTAAGTGATTTTTTTTTATGCACTGGATCAAGATGAGAGAACCCAAGGTCTGCTTTGAATCTCCCTAATGGAATTTAGAGACTTGTCACCAAAGTTCAATATGGTAAGTCAAAGCAAGAGAATCAAGTGTTTACATCCAGGTCAATACATAAAATATCTAGTAACACACCCTATAATAAGTCTTTTCCCACTCAACGTTTTCATTCTAACGGCCTTTCTAAAGGACTTTTCCTGAGATGTAGGGGGAAAAACATGTTTGACTTCCAATGTAACTTAGACCAGCTCATTCTTGGTCAAGGCTGTAGAATACCAGAAAAATTTTCCAGGATCTGTCAATAAAAATGACCTTTTAAAATGTCTTTCTGGAGTAAGTAGATAATAGCTTTTCCTTTTGTAGATCCTAGTTTTGATTTTATGTCAATTATTATTATTTTTTCTCTTCAAGTAATTGTACAAAGGATTTCAATTTATGCCAATGATTCTTAACATTTTTCTGTACTTTGTAAATATTGATTAATCTCCTTCTTTCTCCATTAAGTTAGTTGGTCTTAGATCTATCCCTGAGTACAATCATGACATAATAGGGAAAGTGAACATAATGATTTTGTACTAACATAAAGTCTAAAGACATACTAAATCTGAACATATTGGCTTTTAAGAGCTGAGGAGCAACATTTAGTTTACCTCACTTAGAGGTAAACTAAAGTTTACATTAACATAAGAATTCTTCCAACTTGATTTGATCATCTTTATGTTAGGTTTTTAAAAGAGGTATTCGATTAAGAACTGCAGCAGCACGCACGTGGTATTCAGGTAAGGGGTAGGTTTATTCAGTAGACCTGCTGGGACCAGGCAAGGTTTTCACTCCACGTGGCTGGGAAAGAGAGGAAAGAGGAAAGAAAGGAAAGAGAGAGAAAAGAGCTAGAAAAGGGAGAGAGCAGAGAGCTAGAAACGAACAGAGAGAGCAAGAAAAGAGCAGCAAGAGCAAGAGCAAGAGCGAGCAGAAAAGAAGAGCAAGAGCGAGAGAGAGAGAGAGAGAGAGAGAGAGCAGAAAAGAAGAGCAAGAGCAAGAGAGAGAGTGAGAGCAGAAAAGAAGAGCAAGAGCAAGGGAGGAAGAGGGCGTCTGGGCCTGGGCTAGGCCTTATGTAGGGTATGGGTGGGGAAAGGTGTGGCCACATCAAATTCGGATGTGACCTCAGCGGATGCAGATGTGACCTCTTCCAGGTGTCCCAGTTGCCTAGGTAATGCAGGTAATGGGTGGAGACTTTGCTGCGAGGAGGGTGGAGTCTGCTAGCCATCCAGGAGCGGACCTTACACTTTAAAGTACAGGTATTTTTCAGCTCAATGTATTAAAAACCCCATTGAGCTATGTTACTTGAGGTGGATTATATATTTACTTACACTACTTCTATCTATGTTATTAAACATAGATATATATCAAACATGTCAGTTACCCAGAGAAATGATAATTTGATATCTCATATTGGACAAGTATGTTTTTATTACTTTTATATTTCTAGAAATATTGAAATCTATAATGTTGTTCTTATGTCCATTGTAAACTAGCCTATACATATATGTATATATATGATGAATTTCTAGAAATGGAGTTGTAAATTCTATATTCATGATTTTGACATATTGTTTAGTTACAGGATGCTAAGATAATTTTTTAAAAAGTTAATTTTCATGTGCTGTTTAAAAGTAATGCTTAATATAAGAACCTATAACATACACAATATTTAAAAGTTCTAATTGTACAAGTTTAAGGAATTTGAGAACCAGAAAAGATCAATCATAGTCTTAACCATGATTGGCCTGGAAAAGATATTGTTTAGGAAATCATTGAGGAATCAGAATAGGTGGTGTGTAGTCTGTAATAACAGACCTTTCATTCTGTTCTCAAGAATAGTATAGTATACCCAAGAATGATTTAAGTAGAAGTAAACAATTGAGTAAAAATTTTTCTTCTTGTTGTCTACTGTGTAATTTTTAAATCATAACAAAGCAAGCATTCTAGAAGCTACCTGAATTGGAATGTATTACAATAATTTAAAATAAGACCTGATTCTATTTGCACTGTGGCAGTAGAGGTGAAGAATGTTAGTGATTTCACATAAAATATGAAAGAAAATCCAATAGTTAAAGATAAGCAAAAGATGACATGTCTCTTTACTCTTAAAATTGATCCAGGTAAATATAAATTATTATACATAGATATTTAGTATCACTCTATCATCTTAAAATTTAAATGGATATTCAAGATAAATTTTTTTAAAGACCAATTATTCTAAATTGGGTTTTCTTCACACTGGGGTGTAGTTAAAACTAGAGATAAGAAGCACACACTGGACACACCACAGACACACAGCCATACCACCAAATGGAAATTCTGCTCCTGCCCTGGGTTGGCTCCTTACAATTAGTAATGTTACCTTCTGCGATAAGGCATGAGCAAGATTTTTCATTTCTTTCTAGACAGCATGAAATACAGTGAAACAGAAGGGATCTCTAAGAGGCTTAAAGTTCCATTGTGAGAGGCAGACGAGTTTTCACTGAAAGGCTAATGGATACTCATTTACTTATAGTTCCTGAGAAATTAGCATGAGTATTAACTTCACAAACAACACAGAGGACCCAGGGGTAACTCTCCATTCCCAGCTACAAATTAGATGCAAATGGGTATAATTGCATCATTGCTCTGAGTTTCCTTTGGGGTAAAACTCTTGGTTGAAGCGGACACCAGAGAGTTCACCTTGGAGGAATAATGATAACAACCTTTAGGCAGCTATTATGAACTTGGTGATTCCCAAAACTTTTTGCTTTCCTGGTTCATAATGGGAAATTTTGATTTACAATGAACCAAGATAATGATTGTATATGATAACCTAAATCTCTTGTAAAATGCCATGTTATTTCAAGGATGCCAGAAATACTCTGGTATCTTCACTTTCTGACTAAAAGATCGAGAGAAATGACACTTCACCATTATTGATGCACCATTGAAATGATCATCTGGTTTTAATACTTCATTCTGTGGATGTGTCATATTCTATCCCACAGTTTTGTATGTCCGACTCTCCTTTAATCTGCGATAAATCCCACTTGAACATAGTGGATAAATTTTAATATAGTTTTGTACTTGATTTGCTAATACTTCATTGAGATTTATCACAATAACATTCCTCAAGGATATTGGTATATAGTTTTCACTGTGTGTGTGTATGTGTGATATATATATATATATAGAGAGAGAGAGAGAGAGAGAGTCCTTTTCTTACATTTCTGAGATGGTTTTATTATTTAGCTCATGCAGCCTCAAAGAAACAAACTTCCTGCCTCTGTTTGTGAAGTGCTGAGTGTATAGTTGTGCCCCATCATGCCAGCTTATTATCTCATTTTAGGGCCAGGAAAGTAGTGAAATCATACATAGAAATGTTTTAAATGAGTTCCTCCCTTAGGATACCTTGGAATGAATTGAGAATTGTCACTCTTGGTTGAAAGTTGGTAAAATTCAACATGAAAACCATTCCATTCTTGGATAATCTTTGCTGGGAGACTTTTTATTACATGTTCTTTCTCATTTCTTGTTATGATCTGTTCAGATTGCCTATATCCTGGTAGCTTAATTTTGTTAGGTTATAGCTATCTGCAAAGTTCTCTATTTTTTTCCTGGATTTCTAATATGTAGCATATACTTCCTCAAAACATTCATTAATGATTCTTCATTTTATAGTAGCATATTTAACATCTCCTTTGTCACCTCTGATTTTCTTTACATAGATCTTCTAACTTTTCTCCCTTAAAGTTTTGTCCATTACATTTAACTTTTAAAAAACAAAACTTTTCATTTAGTAGATCTTTTGTGTTTTCAGTATCTATTTTATTTATTTCAGCTATGATTGTAGAGAATTGATAAAATAATGAAGTTTAAATGTAAATACTTTATTATTACCAGAAAATCTTAAAAATTTTGTCACATAATATATTTTAAGAAATAGTCAACTCCTGTTTGTACTTTTTTTGTGGGAGGAGGGGGCAGGTGTTGGTCATGGGACTTGAACTCTGGGCCTGAGTGCTGTCCCTCAGCTATTCAGCTCAAAGCTAGCACTCTACCACTTGAGCTATAGTGCCACTTCTGGTTTTCTGGTGGTTTATTGGAGATAAGAGTTTCACAGCCTTTCCTTCCTGGGCTGGCTTTGTACCATGATCCTCAGATCTCAGCCTCTGGAGTAACTAGGATTACAGGCAGTAACCACAGGTGCCCAGCCTTTTTGTACCTTTTAATGTGATTTTGTCAAATATTCTCATACATGTAGATGATGTACTTTGATGATAGTGCTCCTATTACTCTCTATTTAAAGCTAGTATTAAATAAATGTGAACAATTTTGTCATCCTTAAAACAATGATCAGCCCCATGTTTTTCAGGAACTTCATGACCTGAAGAAATATTTTATAATTTTGTATAAAAATATCATCATTAAGTACATATAAAAGAATTCCCTTTAAAATGTCAGATACATTTGAGTCCACCATGGTGCAAAGCACATGACTTACCATTATGATATGTCGTCAATGTACATTATATGATCGTGCAATATACCATGACATACTTCTTTGCACAATTAAGTTGCACTAATAAAAAGAAAGAAAAAATTCCCTTTGGTATTAGAAATCTCCAAGTGCTATAATAACTGGGTCCTAATGAATTCCTATCAACGCATACACTATTGCTATTCTATTGCTCTAACTCTTAGTGAGATCTAGCTCAGTTTTTCATCATACAATGCTCATTAGCTTAAGTGCATATTTATGTACCTTAATACTAAGACACTTTAGTTAAAAATTAGCTATATTTCAATGTCGAAAAATAATTGCAATTAAACAATGATAGCACTAATTTCCAGATTATATAAAGATTATACTTCACATAAAACATAAATGAAGTACCAGAAAGCCGAAACAGGTTTTGTTGGGGAGAAAGTCAAGATAAGGGAGGTGCAGAGGACTGGAGAAAGAATAGGTAGGTGAATACAATCACAATATTTAATGTATGTATGTGAAAATGGACCCACCTGACTTGTATGGGCAGGATTAAGACAGATGAGGGAGAATGATAACAAGTAGTAATATTGACCCAAATGTATTATAAATGGACGCGCTGAAGATGCTGGAGGGGATGTGGCCAAAAGAGAACCTTATGCATTGTTTGTTGGAGTGTAAACTTGTTCAACCACTTTGGAAAACAGCATGGAGGTTCCTCAAAAGACTACATATAGAGCTACCCTATGACCCAGAATACAAGTTGATCCATTGTAACAATGAGATGTACAAGAGATTATGTTGAAAATGAACTTTACAACTTCAGGAGAGGAGAGAGAGAGGAGTTGGGGAGGTGGGAAGGGGAGGGATAGTAGGGGAAAAACAAAGGAGGGGAAATAACGCTCGAAAAGAAATGTACTCATTACCTTACTCATGTAACTGTAACCCCTTTGTACAGTATCTTTACAATAAAAATATATATATTAAATATGGATGTGTTGAATTGAAATCTCTTTGTATAACTAAAGACTATAAGAATAGGGTAATAAACAATATATTCTTTAAAATCACTTGTTATTTAAATATTATTTAATAAAATATTAAAATGATTTAAATGATTTCAAAATTAGTTCAAATAATCTATCATTTAGTAACAATAATAGATTATTATTTTTCCTATAGGAAAGCAGGAAAAACTTTTTTTTTAGCTAGCAAAAGGGTATCCCTAATGGCCAAGTGTGCATCTCTTAATAAGTAGATCAGTTGGAAACAGCTTTAATAATCTCTGAGAGCAGCAGGCAATCTTCTTCTGACTAAAGGAAGATATCTATACTTATGTAAAAAAGTACTGGTCAGGAAATGAAACATATTTTATCCACTAAGGACAGCATGTCACCAATACACAGACATATTAGTAGAAAATGCTGCCATTGTCTCCCAGCAGCAACTTCATAATCATAAAAAAAATTGAGTGAACAGTGAGCCATCTCTGAAATAAGTAGCCAGTAAGCTGGGTGCTGGTGGCTTATATCATAATTCCAGCTATTCAAGAGGCTAAGATCAAAGAATCATGGTTCAAAGCCAGCCTGGGCAGGAATGTCTGTGAGACTCTCACCTCTAATTAACCACCAAAATGTCATAGGAAGAGAGGATATGAGGACAGTGGATATGAAAATAGCATGATACAAACATATGTGAAAATAGTGTAGCAAATCTATTAATTTGTGCAATTAATATGAGTTGATTTTTAAAAATCTGTTACAGTAATTAGCTCATAACAATGAAGTTAAGTACCTTTACCTTGAGCAAAGTTCGTTTCTCAGTTTATAAAGCCAGAATTACTATTTTAGATGAGAGAAATTACACTTACAGATTAGGCAAAAAGATTACTTTGTTATTTTAAAATAAAAGACAGTTGTCTGTCACAAACAGTACCTTACCTCTAACACAGAATGATCTCAGTTCAGTTTGTGACCACACCCAGTCACTTGGAGGAAAATCAATGTTATGTGCTAGTTACCATCACACTAACAGAACTTTGGCAAAAAAGACAGTGGATGAGATTTTTTCTTTTAAGATGAGGAGACTGAAAGAGTGTGGCCAGTTCAGTGAATGAATAAGTTACATTGAAATAGAAATAGCTTTTGGTGTCCTGTTACATGACAGGGGTATGCTAGACAACAAAAACATACTATATACTTCAAAAATAAAAGAAGAAAAATTTACCATCTTCATCAATATGTGAAAAAATGTTTGAGAAAATACATGTTTTCCATGATATTATTAGGCACTATATACTCTTATAAAAACATCATACAATATCAAGTAATTAGGTACCATTTCCGTAATAAAAATAAAACAATTAAATAAAAGTGAAAGCAATTGAACATAAAATTTAAAATGGAAGCAAAATTACATTTTAATTACTGTTATTGGAAATAAAAAGCCCTCCAATTAAATGAAAAACACCATCACAGACACACCTGGAAAAGAAAAGTATTCTACACAAAGCTGTAAAGTAGCTAATAAAAAGACTAAGCTGTGATGATATAAATGGTGAATGATTTTTAGGAAAGAAAGAAAGAAAGAAAGAAAGAAAGAAAGAAAGAAAGAAAGAAAGAAACGTGTAGGTTTGTAAAAAAAAAACACCTTTTGAAAAACTCTTGAGATTTAAAAAAAATGATAAAAATGATATACTGTGTTTCATATTGTTGAAAGCTAGTTGTGTTTTTTTTACCCCATCAAGATTCACTAAAAATAATAATACCAAGAGGAAAACTGGATGAGAGGGAGGGAGAAGGGTAACACAGCCCAAAAAGAAATGTATGCATTATCTGACTTAGGTGCCTGTAACCCTGCTGTATATCGCCTTTATAATTACAATTTTTTAAGCTTTTAAAACATATAATAAAAATGCAGGCAGAAAAAGATTCAGGGAAGGAGCAGAGAAGTTTTAATGTCTATTCAATAGGTGATAACAACAACTACACTGAAAAGGTTCCTCTCCTGAGGATACTTTTCAGAGCTCCTTTCATATCTCGATTCCTCAGGCTGTAGATGAAGGGATTTAGCATGGGTGTGACCAGCGTGTACATCACAGCCACAATGACATCCTTGTCGTTCGTGTTGTTGGATGAGGGGACAAAGTAGAGCCCAATAATTGCTCCATAGTACAGAGAAACCACAGAGAGGTGAGAACCACATGTGGACAGGGCTTTGCAGATTCCCTTCAAGGAGGGAGTTTTCAAGATGGTGGCCCCAATGCGGCCATAAGAGACCAGAATGCATACAAATGGTAGGGTAATGACCAATGATCCTACAATGAGGATAACCAGCTCATTGACAGTGGTATCTGAGCTGGATAGTTTAATCAAGGCTGAGAGGTCACAGAAGAAGTGGTGGAGAGTGTTGTCTATAAAGAAAGAAAGACGGGCTAGAAGGAGGGTGTGTACAAGGGCTCCTGCAAAGGACAAAACCCAGGAGCCCGTCACTAACAGGAAGCAGATGCTCTGACTCATGATGGTGGTGTAGTGCAGGGGGTGACAGATGGCCACATATCTGTCGTAGGCCATCGAAGTGAGGAGGAAGCTGTCTAGATCTGCAAAAAATAAGAAAAAATACACCTGGGAAATGCAACCAGCATATGAGATGGACCGGCTCTGTGTCAGCATGTTCATGAGCATCTTTGGTGCTGTGACAGAGGAGAAGGAGATGTCCGTGAAAGCCAAGTGGCTGAGGAAGAAGTACATGGGGGTGTGGAGACGGAAGTCCAGCCTGATGAGCAGGATGATGAGCAGGTTCCCCAGCACAGTGGTCAGGTACATGGCCAGGAAAAGGGCATAGAACTGGCCTTGCTCCTCTGGCCTGATGGGGAGCCCCAGGAGGATGAACTCAGAGAATGTGCTTCCATTACCCTTCCTCATGCTCTTCTACTTCTTTATTGCTAGAGAAAACAAGTTGGAATGAGATCTGTCTTGTGAACAATCAGAACAACAGAGAAACATACTATGATGATCTGCCTACTAACAAATGAATCTCTATGCAATATCCAAGATTCATCCAATCTCAGCACCATTGTCTTTGAGAGTTTAGGAGCTGTCTCAAATTACTGCTCATCACTCAATTAGAAAGTTAATTAAACTTTATACGACTGTACCAATTTGCCCAACCATATGGACATTATCTTTAAAATCACCACATTCTTCAGCAAGCTATGCTAATTATTTTGTTAGCCTGATACACCTGATGTATTATACACCCATTTATGTTAATTCTTTGCCATGTTACTAAGCAACTACTTTATTACAATGAAAATACTAATTAGCTGACTTCTGGATTAATTGGTTGGCTTCAATATTCTGCTATTTCTAGCAATATTACAGTAACTATCATTATTCATATTACTTTATATATTAGTATGTATGCATCTATGATAAATACCAGGAACTAGATTTAGGGTGTATATTTATAATTTTGATAGTCAAATTACAGGAGAATCAGTGGCTAGTAAGTTTATTTTTATTAGTTTTATAGAAAGTGCTAGGAATATAAGATCTTGTCACAGGAAGATCATGAAAGTTGGAAGTTTTACTTAAAAGTTTGGAGAGAACAGGGACAGGACATTTGAGATAAAGAGAAAATTTAAGGCAGTGTTCTAGCTAGCTGTGTAAAGTCTTTTTTATCTTTTATAGAAAAAGTTCCAATTGTATTCTCAGAGCAATAGTGGAAGGTGTAAATAAATAATTGAATACAAAATTTGAGCATCTTGCTTTTAAGCAGATAGAGATCTATGTATATAAAGAGTCTGAGCAAAGGTTATTACAACAGATTAGACACAGATAATCAATACTTACACCTGGATTATGACAATAGAAATAATGCAATTGTAGAGACTGGCATAAAATTTGGAAAAGATGTATCAAGACATAATCGGGGATAAAGATAAGGAACAGGAACTATGTGATCTTATTATCTTCTAATAAATAAGATTCAGAATCATTTTGAGATAAACTATTCTCCCTGGAAAGTTGTTTTTGTCCTATCCTTTCGAAATTCAGATCGTTCATCGCATGCTACTGCTCATGGAGATGTCAGTCATCTTGTGGTCTGAAGAGAAGTGGAATCTGAGGGTCACATACACTCAAACACACTCAATCTTAACTACTGAAGTTAATTTAATTTCTATACCTTCTCTGACCGGGCTGCTTAGATGAGGAACACTGCTACCTTCAGCTACAAAGTATAGTAAGGTTCTTCTTTTCCTCTCAAGAGAGCAGGGAATACAGTGAAACAGGAAGAACCTCTAAAGGGCACAAAGTTCCATTGTGGAAGGTGGAAGACTTAACTAGATCTGAATAAAACAAAATATACCCCCCCCAAAAAAACATTGCTAACAGCAGCTATGGATTGGCCCCTGGGGGTCTTGCTATTTCCTAACTAATATAATTGCTTCATTTCCTTTGATTCTTGTGGGAATAAAACTCCTTGTGGAAGCAGGCATAAGAGCGTTCACACCTGGAGGAATATAATCACAAGGAAGCCATTAAAAACTTTGGGTCACAATACTTTTTGCCAAACCAAGATGGAGATTGGATGTACCAGCCACACCATCTTTGTATATGAACAGCAGGCTAGTTTTCAACTATGCAAAATAACACTTTAGTAAATATTTCTATACACTTATACCTTGCTTGATCATATTCACCTCATTACTTTCTCTTGATCCATTACTCCCTCTAGTTCATCTCCCCCTCAGTAATCCTCCTTTTACATTTGTGTCTTTCATTTTGTCCTGTTATTTTTTGGTATGGATTTTACTTTTGAGAGACAATATGGCCTTTACCTTTCTAAGTCTACTTCGTTGTGTTTATGCTAATGATCTCCAGTTCCAGCCATTTTCCTACACATGGCATAATTTCATTCTCTATGGTTAAATAATATTCCAGTTGTGTGTGTGTGAAGAGAGAGAGAGAGAGAGCAATTTCTTTTTCATCTATTTATTAGCATGGCTCAGAATAGGCCTGTTTCAATTGCTTACATTATCTTGGTTCTAGTTTCATACTCTCCTGATTTAATGGTATGTTTTTCTAGTGGTACATAAAAATACTACTGAATTTTGTACATTTATTTTTGTGTCCTGCTACTTTGCTCAAAGTGTTTGTCAGGTCTAAGAATTTAGAAGTTCTCAAGACAATTGTGTCAGCTGCAAATTGGGAGCAATTTGGCTTTTTTTCTTTCCTATTTGTATTCTTTTAATTTCTTGCTTTATTTTTCTAGTTAAAAATACAACTACTATATTGAACAAGAGTGGAGAGACTGGATACCCTTGTCTCATTCCTCTTACTTAGAGGAATTGCTTTCCATTTTGCCCATCTAGTAGTATGCTGTCTACAAGTTTGTCAAATAATGTTTATTATCTGGAGTATGTTCCTTCCATTCCTACCTTTTTTAGGGCATTTGAATTTTGTCAAAGGATTTTCTACATCAATCAAGAGCATATTATTCCTGTGTTTTGTTCTGCTCATGTTCTACAGTATATCTTTTGATTGGTATATTTTGAGCCATTTTGTATCTCTGGAATTAAATCTGCTCATAAGAGTGTTGATGTTTTCATTAAGTTATTCATTTTACAAGAATTTGTTTATCCAGTATAATGTTATACCATTTTCTTTATTTGTGTTCTGTCCTTTAAAAAGTAGCTTCATAGGATGTGTTGTAATGTTCCTTTATTTATGCTATAATCTCTGAAAAGCACTTAGTGCATTACTTTTTTTTTCATTTGATAGAATTCAGCCATAAATTTATCCTGCACTTGTCTTTGTTTTGTTTGGAGACTCTTTATTGCTTTAATTTCATGGCTCAGAAAAGGCCTGTTTCAATTGCTTGCATTATCTTGGTTCTATTTTCATAGGTCATGTATGTCTAGAAATTTATCTATATCTTCCAATTATCCAGTTTATTGGAATGTAAGTTTCATATATCATTGCTCAGTCAGTTCAATGATCTTTTATATTTATTTGATATCATATAAAATATATACTTTCTCCTCTTCCATCTCTTGCAGTACCATTAATAAATAGAACGTGTTTTATATTCCTGTTATTCCTGGGGCTTGAACTCAGGGCCTTGGTACAGACCCTGAACCTCTTTGTGCTCAAGGCGAGCACTCTACCACTTGGGTCACAGGGCCACTTCCAACTTTCCTGAGATAAGAATTTCATGGACTTTTCTGCCCAAGGTTGGCTTGAATCTCAGCATCCTAAGTAGCTAAGATTATAGGTATGAGCCACTGGCACCAGGCTCTGTTATTCATTTTTGAAGACTAGATTCTAGATGAGAGAGAACATTGTCTTTTCTTAGTCCAGTTCATTCCATTTAACATGATATCTAGTCCTATCCACTTTTCTTCCAAGACATAATTTCATTTTCTTTACTACTGTACAACACCATATAGTGTATACATACCACATTTTCCTTATCCAGTCCATTGCTTGATGGGCTGCTTCCATATCTTGGCTATTTTGAATGGTATTGCTTTAAAAAGTGGCCATGCAGGCGCTGAGAGGGAGTTGAGTGGACAGAGCCTGATTTACTGCAGAGCACATGGGCAGCAAAGATGGCGCTGAGAGGGAGTAGAGTGGGCTGAGCCCAATTTGCCTTACGTTCAGTGCAAAACCAGCCCGTGAAAGCTTAGGTGCATGATAGGGTGTGACCTTGACAGTGATTGGATCCTCTTCCTCCCCTGCCATGCCACCCGCTCTTTTTGGCTTTAAAAAGGGCTGCTCTTCGTTAATAAACAAGTTTTCTTCCTGCTTAAAAAAAAAAGTGGCCATGCAGATATTCAACTGTGTTTTTACTGTAGTTTCAGATATATGCCCAAAATTGGTATAACAGAGCCATAGATTAGTTCTACTTTTAATTTTTGAAGGAAATGGTTCCTTATTTCCATAGGGTTGCATTAATTTACATTCTCACTGACAGCAGACAAAGGGCCCTTTTTTCCTTGTATTCTTGCAAACATTTGTCCATATTTTGTGATGACAGTCGTTCTGTTATTAGCATACAGACAAGTTATATTAGCATGTTTGTTTTGCTTCTTGTTACTTTGCTAAAAGTGTTTTAACAATCCAAAGAGTTTTCTGGTGCAGTTCTTATAGTGTTCTTAAGATTAGATAACATGGTCTGTAAATAAGGCTATTAAACATCTTTCTTTCCCATTTGAATTATTTTCATTCCCTTCCCCCTTTCTTGTTGATCATGTCAAAATTCAAACAATATAGTAAATAAGTTACTTGTCTTAGAGGAAATGCTTTCAGACTGTGCCCATTCAGTATTACCTTAACTACAGGATTATTGTTATAACCCTTAGTATGTTCAGATTTGATGCTTCCATTGCTAGATCACTCAGAGGTTTGGGTTTTTTTCATCATTAAAGCATTTCTCAAAGATTTTTTTCTGCATGATATTAAATGTTTTCTTAATTTTTGTCTTGGATTATATCTATATGTTGTGATACATTTAATGATTTGTTTATTGAACCATCCTTGCATTTCTGTTACCTATGTAAACTTGATTGTGGGGTATTTTTTTAATATGCTATTAAATCAAGTTTCCATTCATACACTCAGGTAGTACTCAGTGACCAGTTTTAACAAATGTATATCAGTAAACAAAACATTGACATAACTCCAGAGAGTGTCCTTGGCCTGCTTTCCAGACCATAGGATCCAGAAGCAAACATTAATCTTTTTATTTTAACAATAGGTTAATAAACTTATAGCAATACCTCTAACTCTATCACTACAGCTATAAATTATGCTGAAGCTGGTTTTAGATCCTTACCTATTGTTACACTTGATGTTGGTGCTGGTTCTGGTTAAACTAGTGTTTGCTTGAAGGTCAAGTGGCATTATAGCCATCAATG